ACCTGGTGTTCAGGTAATAGCAGACCAGCCGGGTTAATTGTATGTGATGAGAAATAAAAGAACTTGAATGGGAAGAACAGAAGGTGTACTTTACATGTGGGTCAATGAAAAGAAGGAAAGAAGGAATCGGCAAGACACAGGAGGAGGCCAGGAACTAGCAGAAGCAAGAACGCAGCATATCAGAAGGAGAAGCAGGTGCTCGGGAACCCCTGGGAATGTGGAGAGGGAGGCCAGCATCCTCTGCTATGCAGCCTGGACTAAGCCAGCTCAGGGCCCCGCATTGCCCAGCGTCAGGCTGTTCCCAGCCACGTGTCATTGGGTGGTTTGTGCTGTGATTGGCGTGAGGAGTGACCACCTAGATGGTGCAGCCTGGCACACCTGGGGAGGATGAGCACCTGCGGGTACCCCATCTGCTGGAACATCACTGAGTGACCACGACTGTGCCTGCTCTTTAATATCGAAGAAGGGTGGCCCCGTATCACTGGAGCTTGGCCCTTGGGGCTGCTGGAGACCAGGCACCTGCATATCTGGGGGGGCTGGAACTTAATTACAGTCAGGCGCTGTTGCGATCACCTGTGAGCTTTCTCTGCAGGATGGGGTACCTAGGCCAGCTAAGGGGGGCTGTCAACTCTGTGGGCTTCCATCCAGTTGAGGAAACTGACACACGGTGGATGGCGCCCTTGTATAATCTAGACAATTCACCTGCTTGATTGAGAGGCTCTTGTTTGGCACAGGCCTGCTGTGGTGGGCACTTTACACACATACATTACTTAGTCCCATAATCACCTCCTCAGTGCTCAAGTGTTAGCTTCACTTCGGGTGTGGGGGTGAAACTGAGATTAGGAGCAACGTTAGGTAAGGAGCTTGGTCAAGCTCTTGCAGGAGTGACAGAGCCGTGTTCAAGTGCAATTAACCTCACGGGGACCTCCAGGGGCAGCTAGGTGGGTGGAAGCAGGAATGTTTGTTCCCATTGGTCTTGAGTGATCTGAAGCCAAGGGGTGACTGACTTGCTGTGACTGGGCAGCGGGTGGGTGACAACCTCCGGGACACGCAGTTCGTGCTCCTCCTGTGTCCTGGGGTATCTACTCCACGGCTTGTTTCAGAGATCTCGGAAATCAGCTGCAATCTTAAGCAAATTAAATTAAACGCTGCTGGCAGGATATGAGCGTGGTAATTTATCAACTGTTTCATAATGGAGACCAGAAATTTAAATGTCACTTAGGGCATTTAGTTAAGATCTGTGCTCAGTATGGGAACAATTAGTTCACAGACTGCAAATAAATTCTCTGATTACTTGGGGATGGGATAGTGACTTGTACAAAGCCCCTCTTGGATATGAGGGGGATCTGGCTAGAACATCTGTCGTCAAGTTGGCTCTTGGGTTTGATCCTGCTTGGGGGACTGAGCTGTCCCCCTCCTGCCTTGCTCTGGCGCCTCCTTCCTTGTTTTACTTGCCGGGCCTAAGGTCTGAGAGTAGAGAACTTTCTCCTACGGAGGGTGTTCAAGTATGAAGCATCTTGTTGGGACAGATGCTCTGGGAGATCTCTGTGAAGCAACTTTATGGTTCTTGGAACTGTTCTAAGTATGGCCTGTGAGCAAACAGAGGGCAGCCTGCGAGAAGTGAAACAATCGAGTTCTTGTACCTGGGGTAGGAACATGTAATGGTACGACGACTTCTGTGAACTTTACAAAGTTAAAACACACCTACCCTGTTACTAAGCAATTTCACCCCTAGGCATCTGTCCAGGGGAGATGAAAGTGTGTGCACCGAAGAATTCATTGCACAATTGCATAGGGATGCTCATTGCGATGCTGTTCACAATACACCCCCCACCTCCGAGGCCCGTCAACAGCTGAATGGCCAAGCAGGTGAGTATTACGCTCACCACGTAAAAGCACAATCCTCAGCAACAAGTAGTGGATAAACTACTCCAAGCAACGACATGGATGAATCTCAAAAGCATTTCATTGAGTGAAAAGACGCCAATAATGTAAAGTTCTGGAACAGGCAAAACTAGGCCATGGAGGCAGAAGGCAGAGAATGCTCCTCTCTGTGGGCGGAAGGCACTGATGGGCGTGTGGACAGTGGCTCTCTCGTGGTGACACACCCGGCGGATTCTGGGCTCCTGAATTCTAGTCCTGTACCCATGACCCAAATTTCCCTATGATCGTGGGAGAGTTTTTCACCCCAGGTCTCTGCACCTGACTCCCGTCCACCTGCAGAAACCCCATCTATGTAACCTATGAGAGAAGTCAGCAACTGGAGGGGAACTTTTCTCCCTACCTTAGGCCATGATGAAAGTCATCGGCCTACACGCTCCAGGAAGCCCCTCCTCCCTGCGACTCACCCTGTACATTTGTCCAGCCCAGGGGACAGCCACACCCGGCTCAAACCCAGTGGGGCAGAAAGAGGCCAGCCGTCCCTTCGTCTCGCTGAGCCCCATCCACACTGGCCTGGCTTTGGGTTTCAACAACTCCAGGTTAATATTAACCTGCCCGCAGCTCCAAAGGGCCCGAGAGTTCTTTAATATTAACCTGCCCGCAGCTCCAAAGGGCCAGATAGGTCTTTAACGCTGGTGGCCTTGAACACAGACCTCAAAGTCCAGGGTTCATTCCAACTTCTAGAATCAACTCAAGCAAGGCAGCTCCATGGGCAGCACAGCAGTGACCAGGCAGGTCTGGAGGGGCTGAATTACCCTCTGTTGGGGGTGGGGGGACCAGGAATTCCTTCCCATAGGAGGCACTGTATTGCCCTCTGGGAAGCTAGGAACCACCCACCATTTCTCTTCCCCCAATTTAAGCAGGTACTTTGTCCATCAAGTCCCAAACCAATTTCTGTTTGCAGTCTCTCCTGAAACACCCTCCTTGGGACACTACGCCTGCAGGTGCCCTGCCCTGCCCACTGCAAGTCCCAAGTTTGGTCCCATCTTGAACCCATTCTCTGGAATTCAAGAGATGCTAAACAAAGACAACTCGACTGGCTCAGCCTGGAGCTAGACATTCTCCATGGAGAGGAGTTTACTTAGACGGAGCAGAGGAGGCTGGCGTTACCATTGTTGCCTTGCAAGAGAGAATGTTCCTTAGTTCAGGGCAGGGGTCAGATTCAAGAGGCCTCAGGATAATAATCAGTCCAAATTGAGACTCTCTTATGAGAATCTCCACTGCTCTAACTGACACCAGCACTTTATAAGTATGAACGCATTTCTCATTAAAGTGTAAGAGATGTTATGGGGACACGGAGGCCAAGGACGAGTAAGTTACAGGTGGAAGTTATTAAGTGGCTGTAGAGTTGACCTCGGGCATTAGTTATGCTCCAGCATCTGCGTTCACACATTGTAAAGTCTCCTGGAAGGGAGGGGTGTGGTCCAAGATTGGAAAATGGTGAGAAGGAGTATGGGCTGATGTGAGAGTTGCAGGTGGGCTCAGGCTAGGGCTGGGAAAGGGTGAGAATAGACACGAGAAAGGGATTTCCTGGTGGTGCAAGGGGTTAAGCTCAGCACTATGAAGTAATCCACAGTCTCTGCAGCACGAGTTCGATCCCCGGCCAGGGAGCTACCCACATGGCACAGCAGACCTCTCCTGCCTCTCCCGCTGCTCCCCTCAGCAGTGGATCTCAGTCGGTCTGCCTCTTCTGTTCCCCACTGTCTCTGGTGAATCCTCTCACCCACTGCATCTCTGGCCTGTACCCCAGTTTTTGTATGCATAAATAAATAAATCTTTAACAAAAAAGAAAAAGAAAGGGATTTCCAGACCCCCAATTATGGCCACTAGCAAAAGCATTTCTGAAGTCATCCTGCCATCTAGTGGAGAAGCACAAGTTAGCCATGACCCTTTGAGCAAACACAGAAAGGGCTTTGAGGGAGAAAGATAATTGTTATTTTTCACTCCAACTACAGAGCCTGAAAGAGGCAAACGCCACTGGAGTCTTTGGAATCGCCTCCAGTTTGTACATGCCACCAAATGGAGGTCCAGGCGAGGTTCAAACCCCAAGTCTGCACATTACTTCCAAAAAGTTTGAGCAAATGCATTAACTTCATTTTCTCTTCTAAAAAAAGAGAGAGAAAATAACGTCTTCCCATAAGGTCACTGTGAGGATAGAGTGAAATAACGCACGTGATGTGTCGGGCATGTCATAGCACTTCATGCGTGCTCGTGTCTGTGTCACACTGCGGAGGTGTGGCCAGGCTGGTCAGGGCAGACAGTAGGGCCGTTGGACCATTGGACACTGATCATGACCTTAGTAAGCCACAAGTCAGTTCTTGGGGGAGTCATTTTTTTATGCATACAAGAACTGGGGTGTAGGCCAGAATTGTGGGGTGTCTCTAGATTCCCCAGAGACAGAGTCGGGAGCAGAACAGGCAGATCTACTGAAATCCACTGCTGACGGGAGCAGCGGGGAGACAGGAGAGGTTGCTGTGCCCTGTGGGTAGCTCCTTGGCCGGGGTTCGAATTCTTGCTGCAGAGGCTGGAGATAGCTTGATAGCACTGTCTTAAACCCCTGTGCCACCAGGGAGGCCTGGGGGAGTCATTTTTTCAAGGCGCCCTTATGTTTGAGTTTCCAGCCTTCTGCCTACATCACCGAATCATTTCTCCACTCAAAAACATTAATGTTGTCCCCGTCCGCCGTGTCCACTTAGATGCTGTGGTCCGGAGAGGGATGGGCATCCTTCCCAGGGCCCCTCGGACCGTCCCAGCTGCGTCCCCGCTGCTCCCTGTCCACACACTCCCAGGTTCGGGTGCTTGCAGCCCACCCCCTTCCCTTTTCTCTCTCCCTCCATAGCTCTTGCTATTCTCCTCCTGAAATCACAACACCCCCTTCTTATAATCATCGCTGACAAACGTGCACTTTAGGAGTAAATAAGCAACCACTTTATCTCGAAGTTAAATTTTGCAATGAACTTCACTTGATTTTGAGGCACTGTTGCAAAGCACACGGAGTTCCTTTCTAAATTAACCTTGATCCAGTGTAGTTGCTCATTTACTTCCTAACTGGACATTGGTGCATTAAAAGATTAACTTCTAGCCTTGAACCACTTCTGCACTCATGGGGCTGGGGTAGTGGCCTCCTGTTTCCCACCACATCCAGCAACGAACCACTCTTGAGCAGCTGTCTCTAGACACCTCTCGCCCTGAGAACTGGACGATGCTAAAATCAGGTTGGTTTTGGGGTGTCCTCTGCGTGCTTTGGAATGGGGGAAGGAGATGAAGTGGCAGGTGGGACAAGAACAGAGGATGCACACTGTGTGAGGCTTCATACGTGTTTCCCGTGAATTCACAGGGTGTTCGGCTCTGAAAAAATTGGGCCAGGCAAAGATAGGACATTCAGGAAACCAGGGTAGGAAGGCTTGGCTTAGACACGACAGATAGAATTTATCAAGTCTTAGTAGCTCACAGTGGAATATTTTTCGGATGTCTTTCCAAGGCAAAATGAGTCAAAAATGTGTCTCCTTAAAAAGGTTCTAGAAATGCTAAAAGGGAAGTCCTGCCCTTGGAGATACCTATTATACTTTGGTCATAGTTTTCTGGCCACAGGCAGAGGAAAAAAATAATATGGCCACTTTCTGGAAAACAAAGAAATGAATGTTTCTCGAACAATTGCACTGGTGTAGTTTCTTCGGTGGGTAAGCTTGTTTGGAATTTGATGTCGGTTCCTGCCAGCAAGGTCTTCCAAGGATTATGGCTGAGTCAAGTTGAGTCTTAGAGCACCTGTCCAGACACAGTGGTCCAGTCCAGGTGATACTGGTATAAAGGTAGACACAGGTCAGTGGTCAGAACAGGGCGTCTGCACAAAGGACCAAAGGAGAAGTGACTTTTTGAGATCTGATCTTCTACCTCCTAACCAGAAGTAGAACTCCCAAAGCCTTTGCCTTTATCACTATACTGTGTCTTACAGGACCTTCACATTCACCAGATCTCAGTGAGGCAGGCAGGCGTATCCTTCCTTGCAGACAGATGAGAACTGGAACTTGTCCAGATGGAACGGAGAGCATCACGGTCCTCCCACTCTCTGTCACTGTGAGCATCAGATGAACCATGTGTTAGGGTGTTTTATAGGCGAAGGTCAATTCAAATGCATCAGGTTATTATTTTTGGCCGATGAAATAGCAACGTTTTCTTACTGCTGATGGGGTGACAATCGTGTTAAGCTGCCTGTCCATGGTGTCTGGATGCCCCGCTCACTCTCTACACCACACTTGGCTGAACCCATTTGCTTATTTTCGTGATGCTTAAGAGTCGATGAGACTCAGCATATTTCCAGATATGTGACACTGGCAGAGTACTTGAACCTTTCCGAATCTCGAGTTTCTCATCTGGAAAATGGGGTTAATAATATTTGTGTTTGGGCCTCCCCGGTGGCGCAGCAGGTTGAGCACAGCGCTGTGAAGCTGTCCACAGCCTCTGCAGCATGGGCTCTATTCCCAGCCGGCCAGGGAGAGTCCCACATGGCGCAGCAGACCTCTCCTGTCTCACCCACTGCCTGTTCTGTTCCCCACTCTGTCTCTGGTGATTCCTCTCACCCTCCCGCACCTCTGGCCTGTACCCCAGCTCTTGTATAAAAAAAATAATAATATTTGTGTTTGGGGATCACTATAAAGATTGACTCATGAAAGCCTATAACACAACTTACACAATGCATGATTCATCAGGAAATACTTCATCAGTGGTTGTAACTTTAATGTCATTAATATTATTATTAAGAAGCCATCATATGGTCCCAAGACTCCATGTATAATCAAATTATTCGCTGCTCAACAGAATAAGATAACCCTAAGCTCTCAAGCACCATAAGAACACTTGGATCCTCATCTTCCCCATTACCCTACACCATCCCACACCCCAAAGACAGCACACAGTTCATGCCACAAAACTCTACTTGGAAGTCATTTCTCTGGAATTCAGAGCGTATGTTCCCACAGGTGTAATGCTATCAAAATAGCAGTTGACAGAAAATACCCATTTAATTCACAAAATTGCAGAAAACTGGTGTGTTTGCAAGTCAAAGGAGTATGGAGGAATGTTCTTATATTGGTAGCCACTAATCAAAGCTTAAAATTAAGAAAACTAGGTCACAAATAGGTTCTTTTATTTCTCATAAATGCTGATGAGGAAACACGGGCTTACTTAGAAGGAGAGAGCGCCTTGGAAACAAGAGATCTGAGGCATCTGTGAGGACACTTAAAAGGCTTTGGGGGATCTTGACTGGCTTAGCATGGCTGCTAAATTTTGACGTTTTTGCTGTTGACACAAGAGACTCCACATCACTGATCTCACTCACCTCCACCGAGCAAGCCCCGGGGAAAGATGGAGAGCCAAGGGAAAGGAAGAAGGGTAAGAAAGATATTTTTGAAATCAGCCAATAGCTTGGAGACATTAGGAAGGAGGAAGAGGCACCCAAGTGTAGCAAGATGAACGGCCGGTCCGGCCCCAGGGGACCCTGGAGGGGAGAAGCCATGAGCTCTGGTAGATGGACGCGGGCCAGGATCACGCGCCCCCGCTGCATCCACTGGGGGGTGCGCCGGGGCAGAACAGCCCCTGAGAGGTGGGTGTGCGATGCGGACAGCCAGGAGGCTGTGGGCGCCCCGCTATTAGCTATTAGGAAATAAGCCGCGCCGGCGGGCAGGTCCCTGTTACTACCTGGCCATGGCGCCCGTGCTGAGCTGGGGTGTCGGGATGAGCTCGTCTCCCGTGGCTTCCTGAGCAGGGAGGCGCCGAATGCGTGTGTCTGAAGGGCTCCGCGCACCTGTCACCTCTGGTGGTTTCCAATCTGTCGGACTGGCTGGCCTGGCTGGGGTGGGTCTTGGCTCCCGCCACAGAAAGTTAATCCAGGTCCTTCATGTGTGTCCCTTCCCGGTGATGAGGGGGGACGCTCGTTTGCCCTCGCGTGCCAGTAGCTATTGTGGAGTCCAGGAAGACCTTCAGGGACCTCCTCTGCTATGGATTCCCCAAGGTCTGCGTGGATGCAGACCCGGGTGCCTCGCACCTGCCTGGGCAGACCATGGCAGGCAGGGAAGCCAACCCTCTCCCGCCTTTGGGGCTGCACCCCAGCCTCCAGGAGGAAAAACAGTCAGAAGCCCAGATCTGCCACAGCCAAGGGCCCCCCGGCTTCCCAAAGTCAAAGTCGCACATGAAGGAAAGAACCCACAGTGGGGTAGGGGTGCAATACACACATCTCAATGGGATGCTGGTTCAGAGAAAAAGCCATAAAGCTGGTTTCGGGCCAACGGGGAGAGCTGGTTTGCAGACGAGAGGGTCGGTTAGTACAGAAGAATGGTCTCTGCTTAGGTGTGCCCACAGGGCTCCAAGAAATGGGCCCAGCGGGACTTTCTGCAAAGGGCCATGTGCTGGGCACCGCCCAAGCACCCCAAGAGCAGATTCACCCAGAGGACGTGTGGCTGTGATTAGGATAAGAGGATCTAGAGCAAGAGCAGCAGGGATAAGGCGGTGGGTGAGTCTGCGCCTTTGGGGGCCTCTTGCAGGACAGGAGGTATCAGCGTGAAGACTTCGGGGTGTCATCCACCAGGGAGCCCAGGAAGGTCAGTGCTCAGGGGTTTTTATTGGGGGCTGATTATGTGGGTGCCATCTGCTCGGCAGGTACCCAAACTCCAGGCCCCAGGTGCTCACTGCCTTCTCTACCGTGAAAGGTTGCAGAACCCAAAGCTGGGAAATAGTTTAAAAACTGGCTGTAAAACCAGGGTCAGTTCTTTCTCCAGCAATTTCAGCACCGTATGCTGCCGGGAGCCCCAGCCATGGTGACACAGTGCTCGGGACAAGCTTCTGCCAGCGGGGGCTCACATTTCTGCAGTGGCATCAGGTGATAAAATAACAGATCAGTGCACTTGGGAGGGCGGTGGGAGAGCCGCAAGCAGAGAGAGGAAGACAAGCAAGCCCCTTTGAAGAGACCTACAGTGAATTTCAGACATGAAAATTACCAAAACCACGCAATGAAATGTGTCACAGATGCTTTTTAAATCTACAGTACAGAATACACAGCATTTAGATGCTGATAATGAAGGAAAGATTTGTAGCATATTCAGGGTCTCTGAAAAAGAAATATGCTTGTCCCAAAGGCACAAGCATATTTGGGGGTTGTTTTCAGGGTCTGCTGTGCGGCCAGCAAGAACCCAACAGCACCTTCAATACTAAAATGACCAGCTTCCAAAGTGTCAAGAGAGTGTGACGCTGGCATCGTCTCAAAGGCACCTATTGGTTATAATGGGAGAAAAGCAACTTTACAGTGAAGGCTCCTGGCACACAGTTCACCCAGAGGTCAGTGCCACCGACGATCAGACAGGCCGCTATGTGCTCAGAAAGTGTCCTTGGGGCTTGGGACTCTACCCACAGCACAGAACTTCAAACAAATCGTGAGGAATCATCAGACAAGCCCAATGAGACTCCTTCCCCGGTGAGCAATACTCGTTCAAAGTGTCCGGGTTGTGAAAGACAAAGATCACTGCGCTGGCCCAGAGGGCACTAAGGAGACAGGACAAGGCCAAGACGTGGGCTCCGTCAGGACCAGAAAGAGGACTTGAGTGACTGTGGCGTAATGATGGAGGGAGACATCTGTTTCTCCCGGCCGGTGTGGGCATCCTGGCCCCCAGTCAGAACAGTCTCCCACATGGTCAGCAGCCCAGCCAGCCCTGAAGGCTGCCCTGGTGGGGGCCTGCTCAGCCACCCCCGCGTTCTTCACACTGCAGTTTCCTTTTGGGGTTCTTGCGGCCCTGATGGTTGTCCCGGCCCTGCCACCCCCCCCCCCTCACCCGAAGGCCAGCAAAGCTAATCTCCAGAATGCAGATTTCAAAATGAAGTAAAGTTCAAGGCCTTGGGGTGGCCTCCAGGGTTCTACCTCATTGCTCTTGATTCTAGATATTTTGCCTTTCCTTCCCAAGAGAAACAGACATCAAGGAGTGCCGGGGACCAGCCTCCGGCAAAATGTTGCGTCAGGGGTTCCTGAAAGGATGCGATAAAGGGGATGAGGAGACACTGACACTTGGTGAGGTGCTAGTATCTTCTGCCGAGAGACTCAGCAGGTCTTTATTTATTCATTATTAGTAATAAAAAAATACATTATCATTGTAAGGCAGAAACAATTAGTGTTTTTTGTTCCCATGGACTACTGGCTCCTATGGGTCCCAGCTAGCCGGTAGCCTTCAAGGTT